CTTGTATATGTGCTAGGAAAGATTCATACCACTAATTTAAGCAAGATTAAAAAGCATCTCTCAAAAGCATATGGAGGTTCATACCCATCTAAATCTATCATTATTATGAAATAATTTTGTTAGCATGCTGGTATCAATTTGGAAATATTGGTACCCTTCTACATACATGGAAGAGTTCTTGTTTTCTAAACTCATATCCATAGTTTTATAGCTCAAATGATAAAATAGCAGAAAGAGCCGGCAAGGTTTAGTCTGGGAGATCAAGGTTCAAGTCACCACTCAGCCACAGAAACTCATTAGGTGGTTTTGAGCAAATTATTTTCAGAGGAAGGCCATTGCAAACCCTTTCTGAACAAATCTGGCCCGCAATTATGAATCACCTTTGTTGTTGTGTGCCTACAAGTCATTTCTGACTTACGGTTACCCTAAGACACCCTGTCATGGGAGTTTTTTGGCAAGATGTATTCAGAGGGAGGTTACTTTTGCCTCCTTCTGAAGCCAAGAGTGTGTGACTTCCCCAGGGTTACCCAAAGGGTTTCCATGGCTGAGCAGGGATTTGAACCCCTGTGTCCAGAGTCCAATGCTCAAACCACAACACCACTATGTTGTAGAACTAATGTAGTTTGGTAGCCGTTTAATTACCATTGTTCATTGTTATGAAATCCTGGAAGCTGTATTTTTATCGGGTCTTTAGCCATTTCTGCCAAAGAGTGCTGGTGCCTCACCAAAGTACAAATTCTCAGGACTCCATAGCATGGAGCTATGGCAGTTAAAGTGGAATCAAGACTGCATTAGTTCTCCAGTCTAGATGAACCCACTATCTCCCTTTCCTGATTATTTTAATGCTTCAAAGAGACTAGGCAGCAAGAAATCCTTAGGAGTTCATTTTGACCAATCTGCCATCATAGTGTAGCATCAGCCATGAATGGTGCTTGTGGTGCATGTGTTTTTCATGGGAAGCTTGTACAATGGAACCTTGACTTAAAAGCATCCCAACTTCAGAGAATTTTGGATTAAGAGTTGTTGCTCAGCCTGGGTTTTGTTTTGACATAAGGGCAGCATTTTGAGTTATGCACTTGCTCCAGAGGGAGTGCTAGCATCAGAGTACAGGGTTTCAGAACTTCAAAGGAACAGCCTCTGTGCCTCGTGCCAGATGCTTTTGTCCGCTTTGGGAGACTGCTGTTTGCTTTGTTCTTGTCCACTTTGAGGAACTTTGGGTTCGTTAATTTTGTGTGGTTTTTATTCCTGGTATGTTTTTCTTCATGAAGGGAGAGGGGGAAAGAGTTATAGAGGGAAGGAGGCTGGAATTAGTGCAGTATGAAGAAAATGATGCTTCTGCCTCTTCACTTTGTGCTTCCTTGCCACAGTGTTGTGATTCTACCATTTTAAAGTTGATCTTTCTTTTTTATTGTTCCATGTGAATTTGCATTTATACATTATTTGTTATTTATAAAGTATATTTTCTTATTTCAAAACACGTAACAAAAATGGGGGGCTGTTCTGTCGCCGCTGGAGCTGAAATTAAATGCTTCTAAGAGAGGATGCAAGGCTTGYGTCCAGCGGGAAGCCTGGGGGCCCGAGAAAKAAAMTTTAGAGGAATTTTCCCTATTAAGCAGGCTTTAGGAGACTTAAGCTTAAGTACAACAGTCTTTATTAATGAACAAGTAGGAATTGTAAGATTTCTAAATAGTCTATTGGCTCTTGCAGTCTTGTTTACAGGAAACAGGCACTRTCTTCAAGAAACTTTGTTTAACAGGAAAATTCCCCTTTAAAGCTCCTCCCAGGAGCTTTAACCTAACTGGTTTGAGTCTGCTACYGGCTGAACTGCGTCTCAGAACTGAACAGACRTACCATCAGGCTTGAAATCACTTAGCTGAAGATGAAGAGCTGTTATTCCCTCCRGAGGTCCTCAGGGCTGTGAAGCTGTTCCCTGGAACCCTTTGGGAATCCGTAGAGGCCTTTAATCTGTTCTTCCCCAGGAAGTCTTAAAAGAYGAAGCCTTTGCACAGGAGGAGCGTCTGTATGCATCCTCTGCCTTARCTTCCCTTGCTATGACTAACTGAAAAATGGCCCCTTCCCTCCAAAAGCAAAAAGGGGGCGGGACCAGGGATCCTAACTATAATTGGCAGRTGRCTTACCCTATAAATGCAAATTATAACAGGAAACCCCCTGCTGCAAAATCCCAAGCATGGGAATGCACACAAACATTTAAACACAGCAAATAAATCTGGAGCTCCTGGAACAGCTGTTCCAGAACAGGGGCAGGGAGGCAGAACGGATTAATAGAATTTCAATGGAATAAAGCATTTTCAGTTAAGAGTTCGCTCACAGAATGAATTAAACTCAAGGTAAAAGTCAAGGTATCACTGTATTTGGATAGACATGGCTTTCCCTATTTGAGCCGAGTTTGGAGAAGTTCTGAAAGAGGTAAACAGAGGCTGGAGTGGAATGGGATTTCATAACCAAGTAATTGAATGAAATAAAAGATAACAGAATTGCACATAGCCTCAGAAGACATTTTTATGAGAAAAATACCAGAGGAAAAATAATGAAGAAGAGGAAATTATTTGAATAAAAATGAGGAACCAACAAGAGAAATAATGAAACATGGTATGAGACCAAAAATACTTTGTGGCGGTGAAAGTATAGGCAGCTATAGTACAGCTAAAACACTCTTCTTGACCCTGGCATCTTTTAGATATGTCAGACTGCAACACTTATAAAGCCCTGAAATATCTGGAAGGCAGCAAACTGGAGAAAGACCAAACCAGAACAACCTCTTGGTGGGTTTTGATCAAGAAAGTTTGTCCCTTTCAGAGTTGGCAGGATTCAAGATTAAACGTTGATTTCAAGTCTTAAGACAGGACACCACGGTAGGCAGAACAAACATTTGAGTAAAATGACTAATAAGCAGGATAACACAACTTTCTTTAACCCATAACCTTCTTACCAAAGCAGAATCTTGATCCAAGTTCCAAACTTGACACCTTACCTCCATGGCTCAACGCTACGTGATCCTGGCAGTCATAGTTTGGTGAGACACCAGCACTATTTGGCAAGGAAGGCTGAAGGCCTTGTAAAGATACAACTCCCATGATTCCATAGTGCTGTTCAAGTGGTGCCAAACTGCATCAATTTTGCAGTGCAGCTGCACCTGAGACAAGATGCACCATCACTGTGCCTGACTGCCCTTCAATGAATGCCCACAGATGAGAAAATATTGACTTTGAATTTGGAAAGTAGGCCACAATGCACAACATCTGAACTGCTTCTAAACTGTTTTAATTCTGCAGGTAAAATCCATAAATGTAGGCCAATGGGACCAATTAGCATGTAGCATGATGGTTTCCTGGGACCATTTGAATGTTGACAGGGACCCATTCTACCCTGCCATATAAAATCCAGATTATCTGCTTTGAACTAGATTATATGGCAGTGTAGATTCAGAAAATCCAGTTCAAAGCAGATAATGTTGATTCTTTACCTTTATATTCTGGATAATAATAATAAAAAACTTTATTTGTACCCCGCTACCATCTCCCCAAGGGACTCGGTGCGTCTTACATGAGGTCAAGCCCAAAGTACATCAAACAAAGCATCAATAAACACAACATCAATAAACAATCAATAAAATACAAATATGGAGTTGGTTGAACCCAGGAGAGAAAAATCATATCTCATAATTACATCTGCCAATCTTCAGGTTTATTTTTGTGGGAGTGTAGATGGGCCCTGAGTCTACACTGCCATATAATTAGGTTCAAAACAGATAATCTTGATTTTATACAGATGTGTAGAAGGGGCCTGGGGTGTATGGCTTTTTCAGACCATATAACTAAAAATGAAGATTATGGGACAAAAATAATGGAGAAAAGTAGATAATACCTCGAGGAAATAATGGAAATGCCTATATAGTGACGATTTATAGATGGAATGTTACCTTTTTCTGGCTTTAGCCTATAAAGCCCTACATGGTTCCAGCCTATCTGCCATCTCTTGATCCACCAGGGCTTTTGAGGCAACATGACATAAGTAAAAAGACTTCTAAAACACTAAACAAATTATCAACACCGAATTGAAATATTTGAGGCTTGCCTTTAAAAGCAGCTCTAAATGGGCTTTGGTTTGAAATAAAGCTGCTTTCAAAACAGTCAAAACATACCCTTCTCTTACTAAGAGTCCGAGCCTACAACTCCCATCGGCCCTAGCCAGCAGGGGTGATGGCACGGGATTGTGGGAATTGTAGTCCTGGAAATGTAGTGAAACCTGGTTTCCTCCCACAAAAAAAAAAACCTGAAGATTGGCTGATGTAATTATGAGATATGATTTTCCCTCCTGGGTTCAACCAACTCCTTATACGAAGGTCAGGTGCTGCAGACTCTATTTCAAAGGAAGGAATTGGCAAACCCAACTCTTCCCCAAGAAAACCCTGCCTATATAGAAATACACATTGTGCATCCGCTCTTTCTTTTCAATGACTACAACCCCCAGAATCCCTTCCCACTGCCCGTACTGGCTGAGGCTTCTGGGAAATGAAGTCCAAGGAGGCCTCTGGAAGGGGAAATGGCCCCCACTTCCGGTCTGAAACTAGAAAAAAACCAAGCGGGATTTGTGACTCTGTTCAAAGTGAGAATGGAGGGAGGATTAAGATACTGTTACACTACAACTCTCATCCGGCGTGGCCTGAAGGCTGGGAGTTGCAGTCCATGATCATCCAGAGAATCCTGGATCTAGATGACAAAGCCAAACAAATAAGTTGTTTTTGTTTAAAGAGCTTGGGCTCGGCCCCGCCCCTTTTTCTATTAGCCACGCCCATTTCTCGTAGCCACGCCCTACCTAGACCCTGACTGACAAATTGTTGTTCGAAGAGCCCGCCCCCTTTTCGCTTAATCACGCCCCTTTCTCGTAGCCACGCCCCTCTTTGCCCCTGACTGACAAACACATTGTTGTTGTTTGAAGAGCTTGGGCCCGGCCCCGCCCCCTTTTCGCGTAGCCACGCCTCCTCGGAGACGCGTCCCTATAAAGCGCGAGCCCGCCTCCCCCGAGAGGAAAGAGCGCTGAATTCGCAGCAGGATCGCCATGGCTCAAGTGGAAGTGTCCGCACCGCTCTCCCCGCTGAAAGGGGGACACTCCCCCGCAGGTGAGAAGGGGCAGGGCCACGGGGTGTGTCCGCACTGCGGAAAGAACGCAGTTTGACACCGCGTTAAACTGCCAGGGGGGCGGAGTCGCAGTTTGGAGAGGCACCAGCGTGCTTTGGCCTTGTGCAGAACTCGCAAAGCTCCCAGCGCGGCCTTGCACACAACTCCCCACACTTTTAACTGCCATGGAGCCGTTACAGCGGTGTCAAACCGCGTTCATTCCGCAGTGTGGATGCACCCCAGGTTAAATTGAACTGCTTGGGAGCAGAAGTGTTTTGGAATATTTGCATCTATGTCATAGACAATCTTAAGAGAAGGGAGCCAAGACTCAACTTGAAAAGCCATTCCTATACATCTTGGAAACATAGCTTGAATATTATCCAGGCATGGGCAAATCTCGGCCCTCCGGGTGTTTTGGACTTCAACTCTCGGCTGTTAGGAATTCTGGGAGTTGAAGTCCAAAATACCCGGAGGACCAAAGTTTGCCCATGCCTGTGTTATCTCTTTTCCCCCTTCCTTCCTGCTCTCCCTCTTTCTCCTCCCTCCATTCCCTTTTGTCCTTCCTTCCTTCTCTCTTTCTTTCCTTCTCCCCTTCTTTCCTTCCATCCTTTCATCGTTCCCTTGTCTTTTCTTCCTTCTGTCTTTCCTTCCTTACCTTCTTCCCTTCCTCCTACTGGTCTTTCCTTCCACCCTTTCGTCCTTCTTTCCCTCCCTCTTTCCTCCCCCCCTCTTCCTTCCTTCCTTCCTTCCTTCCTTCCTTCCTTCCTTCCTCCTCCCTCCCTCCCTCCCTCCCTCCCTCCCTTTTGTCTTTCCTTTCCTTCCCTTCTCTCTTTCCTTCCCTTCTCTCCCTCTTTCCTCCTCCCTTCCTTCCTTTTCCTTCCCTCTTTCCTCCCTCTCCCTCTCTTCCTTCCTTCCCTTTTGTCTTTACTTCCTTCTCTCTTTCCTTTACCTTCCTTCCTTCCATCCTTCTTTTTCCTCCCTTCCTCCTTCCTTCCTTCTCTTTTTCCTTCCTCCTTCCCTCCCTTCTTCCTCCCTTCCTTTCATCCTTCCCTCCCTCCCTTTTCTTTCCTTCCTCTCTCCTTCCTTCCTTCTTCCCTTCCTTCCATCCCTCCCTTTGTTTCTTCCTTCCTTTTGTCTTACCTTCCTTACCTCCTTCCCTTCCTCTTTCTCCTACAGGTCTTTCCTGCCACCCTTTTGTACTTCCTTCCTTCCCTCTTTCCTCTCTCATCCCTCTTTCTCCTTCCTTCCTCCCTTTTGTCTTTCCTTCCCCTTCTCTCTTTCTTTCCTTCTCTCCCACCAATCTTTCCTTCCACCCTTTTGTCCTTCCTCCCCTCTTTCCTTCCTCGCTCCCTCTTCTTCCTTCCCTTTTGTCTTTCCTTCCTTCTCTCTTTCCTTTATCCTTCCTTCCTTCTAACTTTCTCTCCCTTCCTTCTCTTTTTCCTTCCTCCTTCCCTTCCTTCTTTCCGTCCTTCCTTTCCATCCTTCCCTCCCTTTTGTCTTTCCTCCCTCCTTCCCTTCTCTTCCTCTTTCTCCTACCAGCCTTTTCTTCCACCCTTTTGTCCTTCCTTCTACCTTCTCTTCTCTCTCCCTTTCTTCTCTTTTTCTTTCCTCCTTCCCTTCCTCCCTTTTGTCTCTCCTTCTCTCTTTCCTTCTCTCTTTCCCATCTTTTCTTCAGTCCTCCTAGCAGGGAGTGCTAGCATGCGTCCCCCAAGTTAGAAAGTTTTCCCATGCCTGGTGTAGCTGCATCCCGAGTGTGGTTTCTGAACTTGACCTGTGTCTAGCTCAGGCATGAGCAAACTTTGGCCCTCAGGTGTTTTGCACTTCAACTCCCACAATTCCTAACAGCCGGTAGGCTGTTAGGAATTGTGGGAGTTGAAGTCCAAAACACCTGTAGGGCCCAAGTTTGCCTTTGCCTGAGATAAAGGATGCTCAGTCCATAACAGTTGTGTTGCCCCGTGTATTGCACTGCCCAGCATCCAGGTAGTCAAATGAGGCGTGATTTGGAAGAATGGTGCATTTGTTTTGTTTACATTGCTGCACCATTTCCTTTCTCAGCTTCCTTTCTTATTTCCTTCACCATCTCCTCCCTGCTAGCATGAATAGAAAAGTTGGATATTACTGAGTGATCCAGCCGCTTTGAGTCTCCTTGTGGAGGGAAAAAGCAGGGTATAAATAAACAACATTGATGCACACTTGGGCAGTTTTGCAACAGATCTGGTGTGTTGTTCTTCTCTTAACTTTTTCCTTCCTAGAGAACTTTGGACAACACTCGGTTGCCTCCCCTTTGGAAGCTCCCCAAAGAAAGGGCTTGTTTATGTCTCGCTAGTGCCATAAAAGTGGGTTGCGTAACTCCCAGGACGAAAGGGAAGGGCATGGAGCCCAGCATCTGGATCCAGAGTATCCGACACATTTTAACATTGTGAGGTTAGATGTGCTCGGTTAGTTAGATACTCTGCAGACCATTGAAATGTACCAGGCATCAACTACAATGTAATGCAGAGATGGAGTACTTTTGGCCCTCCAGTCACTCTATAAGTAGTATTTCCTCCTTGTTTTTTGATCACTGGCATTTTTATGGTATTGTAAAATTTATTTATTTATTTATTTAAAAGTTTTGTATCCCAATTTTCTCTACCTCCGTGGAAGGACTCAGACCAGCTAACAGCAAGGATTAAATGCTAACAATACAATCTAAAACATCGTACATCAACAATAAATTAAAATACATAAAAGTCAGTTTGTCAAGATAAAATCATGTCCCACTCAGTCCGCATATGTGGTCGATAACTTTAGTCAATTGCCAGTCTCCGCCATCATTCTGGGAATGCCTCGTTCCATAGCCAGGATTTCACTAGCTTCCTGAAGGTCAGGAGGGAGGGGGCAGATCTGATCTCAATTGGGAGAGAGTTCCATAGCCGGGGGGGGGGCCACCACAGAAAAGGCCCTGTCTCTCGTCCCCACCAGACGCAATTGCAAGATGGTGGGACTGAGAGCAGGGCCCCTCCAGAAGATGGTTGATGGTTCATACCTCCCTGCAGGGCCTAATTTCTCTACTCACAGCTCAGCTGTTTTGGAACTGCTTAGGTTGACAGTAAGCTAGGCTTAACAGTTGGGTTCCCAATCTGACTCGGGCTTCAAACTTATCACCTTCCAGTTGGCAGTGATCTATTGCTGCAGGCGATTGACCCACTGTGCTACAGCGGAGCCCAATTGTGTTGTTCTTAAGGTTCATAGAAACCTAGAGTTGGAAGAGACCACAAGGACCGTCCTTTTCCAAGTCCTGCTATGCAGACCGCATGAGGATGTGAGCCACAATGACAGTAATAATAGCAACAGCAGCAACTCCTATGATCCCTTGACACTGTCTACAGGGCCATAGCCAGAAAAAATTTGGGGGGGGGGGGGGGGGGGGGGTTGAAAATCGGGGAGGGGTTGAAACCTGCCTCCTAGCTCACGCTGAAGCAAAGAGCACAGCAGGGGGCAGAGCAATCTTCAATAGCCTGCAGCTCCGCCCCTGTCAACCACCTCCACCAAGTCTGGCCTCCTTCATGAGAGCATTCAACACACACACACAATTTGGTTGCTTCACTACATCGGCTATTGCTGCAAGTAATGACAATGTGAATAAATTGTCAATATTTGCTTGAGATAGTGCTTGCAGTTCTGGAGGGACTCTTAATTTTTTTGCATCTCATAGACTTAGCATGGGGATTTGGTTAACCAGTTAAAATTCATGAATAAAACAGTTTTTTTTAACCTGAAAAATTTCAGGGGGGTGGGGTTGTTGTTGTTCATTCGTTGAACCCCCCGAAATTACTTGTGCTTTTATTACTTGTGCTTTCAAATTGTTTCCAACCTGTGACAAACCCAAGATTTGTCCAGAAGAGGTTTGTTCTTGTGCTTTTTCTGAGGCTGAGAGAGTGTAACTTGGCCAAAGGCACCCATTGCTTTCATAGCTCCCTGATCTCCAAAGCCATAGCCCAAAACGCAAACCACTACACTTCATTCAGATTTACCTTAAGCTTAAATCCCTACTCAAATGAGGCTGGATGCTTCGGTTCATTTTAAGGATTATTATTACTACTACTACTCTATGTAACACAATTTTTGTTCCTGGGTTATAAATGTCAATTTCTAGTTGATTCTATCATAAAAACATGGGCATTTTTATTAAACTGCAAAAAAAAAAGTTTTTGCAAGACATCCTGCAACACATTTTGCTATAGTTTTTCAATGAATATCTCATAAAATCTCAACCAACTCAACATAGTTTGTGGCAGCCACAAAAATAAAGTTGTAACTGTTCCTTTGTGCTATGAACTTCTTTGAGGAAGATGCTGTGCTATTTAATAAGTGTGTCTCTACTTTTCCCTAAAAATACCCAAATCTGACTTAATAACTAAGAATTGGAAATTGCCTTTAGAACTAGAAAAGCAAAAATGCTGATGAGACATATAAGATATCTGGTCAAACAACACCAATAAAATTTTAACAAAGATGTGTATTAAAGGTTGAACCATTAACCTTGAGTTTATCTTATTCTGAAGGACACTTGGTATTTGGAAAGGGCACTTGCTTTCCTCCTCTTCGTGGAGCCTTTCATTTAACCCCTTAGTTTTCCCTACTCACAGCTGAAATGGAATAGATTTAATGTATGTACTATGTTATTTAGTCTGCATACTGTGTTTATTCTCCATACTATCTTATGTAGGCGACGTTATGTGGATTAAGAGAGAACTAAGGGGAGAAACTTTATTTCTCTCCTTTCCACTGTGAAAAAGGAAAATGAAGGGGTTAAACATTCTCCTTTATTGTAAAATAAGAGCAAGGGATACTTGATCCAGATGGGATACACAATTACATTTACTGAATTATTATTCTAACTTTTCTTTTTGGGGGGCTAAATTCTCCCAGCAGGAATTTAGTCATGGCAGATTTGGCAGGGAACCAGTTGTGGAAAAGTGCCTCCCTACCTTTATGTGGTGGGCTTGACTCAGTTAAGGCAGAATCTTAATAGTATGTTTTCCTTTTGGGGAGTGATTGTTCTCTTTAGAGTGTTTTGACTTAATGGACACGAGTTGCCATCACGGCAGCCTCTTTTTTAAGAACAATAGTCTATAGATTAGGCATGGACAAACTTTCTAACTTGGGGGCTGCACGGCAGGCCGAGGTGGGGTGGATAGGCCGGGAGGGAGGGGGTTCTCCCCAAGTCCCCTCCCTGCCCTGCCCTTTCCTCCTCTTCCTCTTCTCTTTTGGAGGCAGGAAGTGAAGGAGAGACAGGAAATGTTTGGATCCCAAAAGGGTTAGCCTTCATCAGATAAGATGATAAACGGAAGACATTAGACCTGTATCACCTACTCCTGATATAGAACCCAAGACCTGGAAGAGACCCCCAAGGGTCATCCAGTCCAACATCCTGCCATGCAAGAAGGCACAATCAAAGCACTCCTGATAGACAGCCTCTGCAGAAAAGCCTCCAGAGAAGGAGACTCCACCACACTCCCAGGCAGCCTATGCCACTCTCCAACAGCTCTTACTCTCAGAAATTTCTTCCTAACCTTTTCACTCTTTTCCTGCCATTTGAAACCATTGCCCCCCTGTGCCCTGGTCTCTAGAGCAGCAGAAAGTCAGTCCCGTCCCCCCTCAATGGGACATTCTTTTAAATCTTGAAACATGAGTCTCATGTTCCCTCTCAACCATCTCTTCTCCCAGCTAAACATCCCCAAAGGAAGTAAAAAAAGAAGGGAGGAGAGAAGAAGTAAGGAAGGGTGGAAGGGAAGGAGGAGGGAAAAAGAAGAAGGAGGAAGGAAAAGGGAAGGAAGAAGAAAAGAGAGGGAAGGAAGGACGAAAGTGTGGAAGGGAGGGAGAAAGAGGGAGGTAGGGAGGGAAGGATAGAAGGAGGGAGGAAAGAGAATGAAAGAAGGCTAGGATGGTGTGAAAGAAGAGGGCCTGAGAAAAGAGCCCGAGAGGCTTCATCCGGCCCCTGGGCTTGGGTTTGCCCATGCCTGCTATAGATCTTGCTTCTTATTATGGATATTATGTATATTAGTGATGCTATCTATACTTCCACATTTGTGAGTTTGGCATTTGCATATGTGATTATTCATGGATTTAGTTCAAATAACGGCTCCATGCAGTCATGCTGGCCACATGACCTTGGAGGTGTCTATGGACGCCAGCTCTTTGGCTTAGAAATGGAGATGAGCACCACACCCCAGAGTCGGACACGACTGGACGTCATGTCAGGGGAAAACCTTTACCTACCTAACTATTCTGTCTAGGTATCCCAGTGCAACTCCATGGTATATTTCCACTGGAAGTTGCCCATATTGTTACACAAGAAAACCTAGAGATTCTTGGAAAGGTGTTCTCTGAGGTTGGATCTAAACGGCTATGTAATGCTGTTTGGGACTGCATTGTATGGTCAGTGTGGACCCATATTCCGTTTAAGTGCATTATATGGGTCCAAACTGCATTATATGGCAGTATAGATCCAGCCTGAGGCCAAAAAGCTTTTTTTAATTAACAGTTTTCCACATCCATGGGGGTATTGCACCCCTAACCCTATTGTATGTGGAGGGCTGACTGTATATCTTAAATATTGTCCTAGTTCATTTTCCCCCTTGGTGCTGTAGCTACTGTGATTATCATGAAAACCACTGTGGTTCACGAGGTTGTAGAAAGATTATAAAATGTATTTAGATACCAAGCTGAACTTCATATGGGTGTAATTGTAAACAAAGCAAGATAGGAAATCAAGTCCTGTTTGGAAGCAGTGGAACTGTTTCACAACTTTTTGACTCACACTGAGTAGGCTATGCCACCTTGTTTCTACACCTCCTACACTTTGTGTGTGAGAATGTGTCGTCCATAGCCCATCAACTTGTTCACAAATTGAACCAGGGTACAGATGTGCCTTAAAAATGAGAGAATTCAATCTAGGTTCTGTTTTCCTATTTAAATAGCATTAGTTACTTTTCCCCCCAGTATCTTTATGCTGTGCAAGGGTAATGTATTTAGACAGTTTTTCTGAAGTATTTCTGCACGGTTCTGAAGACGAATTTGTCTGACATTGCTCAACATTGAAACTGTTGCTGCTGCTTTAATTGGTGCTAATTGGTTTTCAGATTGACAGGCATGTTAACAGAACATAATTACTTGGTAGGACATATCTGAATATCGGCATTCTCACTGCTATCACAAGAAGTACCTTTTCAAGTTTCTGCATTATCTTGGTTGGATACATTCAGTGCTGTTTGTCATGGAGTTTGTTCACATCTGAGAAGACGGCAAGAGGTGTCAACTTGAAAGCTACATCTAGAAAACAAAATTCTCATTACAACTCGTATTACTGCAAGGCAGTGGCCTTGATAGGATTGTGCAGGGAAGGGGGATGTGAAAGAGATGTGATAGCCGTGACTAAATGTATTGTGAGCAGGTCAACCAACACTTAATATGGCTGTAACACAAATGGACAAATGTCCTTTCATGAAATCAAAAGAGAGAGTGTTAAGGGTGATTGTGAATGTGGCCTCATGTCCATTGTACATCAGGACCTAAATTCAGTTGCTAATCCCTAATAGAAGATAACTGCTGAAGCAAGTCAATGCTTTGGCAAATCCCATTGATTCAATGGAGTAATCTAGTTGGGACTAGCAATAGGGTTCATGTCCAAATTCCAGGCATCAGGATTTTGTTTTGGCATCTCCATGTAAGTCTTGTAAAAAGCCCTGCCTGAAGCCTAAAATTCTCATTGACTCAGCCTATGGGCAGTTTCTTACATTCTAAAGTACAGCCTGCCCTTCACATTTGCTAGGGACTCAGGGTCTACAGATATTTACAGAACATTTTAAATCAAATCTGCACGTAATAAAATCCACAAAACATGTGTGATGATTATAAAATAAGGTAAAGGTTTCTCCTAACATTAAGTCTAGTCGTGTCCGAGTCCAGGGGGTTGTACTCATCTCCATTTCTAAGCCGTAGAGCCAGCATTGTCCGTAGGCACCTCCTAGGTAATGTGGCTGGCATGGCCACATGGAGAGCCGTTACCTTCCCTCAGAAGCAGTACCTATTGATCTACTTACATTTGCATGTTTTTGAACTGCTAGGTTGGCAGAAGCTGGGCCTAACAGTGGGAGTTCATTCCCCTGCCTGGATTCGAACCACCGACCTTTTGGCCAAGTTCAGCAGCTCAGCGGTTTAACCCACTGTGCCACCAGGGACTATAGTAATGATTATAGTTATACATTAAATATGAAGGAGGTTACTTTTGAACTAAAGCTAGTTTTTGTACATATTTCTGAATGCGTATTCAGCAGAATTATTCCTGTTTTGACTTCGAACAAAGCAGTTACTCATGAAAACACACTTGTAATGCACAATCTCACCATTTTTCTCTGCAGTCAAAGCTGGAGGTATGAGAGTTTCCAAGAAGGTGGAAAATGCACCTGCGGAAAAGAAATCCAAATTGTCTGGGAAGGAGAAGACAAAGTATGTGCACTTTTATGTGTGTCTCATGATGTTTCTGAGGTTTTGGTGTGTGCAGAGCAGAGGGATACTAATATTGAGTGCTATAGTTAAAAACAATACTAAAACAGCAAACCAGTGGAAGTAATGTCAAGGAAACCAGAAAGAAAATGAATTGGAACACATTAAGTATGAAAAAACTGCATGTTGGGTGTTTTTATTTTTTTAATATCCAGAGTTGGAGAGATGCTCACAGTTCAACAGTTTAGCCAGAGAGAGTGGCCAGTGGTTGTATTGCAGTAGGAAATAAAACTGGGACAAGTGCCACTCTATATAGCACAGTGGAGGAGTTAAAAGGGAATCATAATTTAGCTGGGTTATTGCTGCCAAGAACTATTCCCTGTGTCTCAGCTTAACAAACAAGTTCAGTGAGTATGATAGTCAGGTGTCTTAAGGACACCTAGGAGTAGGAAGGATATGGATCGCTTGGGCATAAACGTAGTGCACCATGAGTGATCCACCATATTTAATACACCCTTCACTTTAAGTCTCTCATTTTGTGAGAGGCAGAAAATCCCACATTATCTGAGTGTGGACTCAGATAACCCAATTCAAAGCAGATATGGGATTTTCTAGTTTGATATTTGGGATATAGGGCTGTGTGGAAGGGCCCAAAGAGGAGTCAGTGTAAAGGGATAATTTTTATAATAAAGTTTTGTAACCTCATTTACTTTCACTTAAAGAACTCACCAGCATAGAAATGCTCCACAAATCCATAAATAATGAAAGAAATTGTGTTGTCGAAGGCTTTTGTGGCTGAAATCACTGGGTTGCTGTGAGTTTTCCGGGCTGTATGGCCATGTTCCAGAAGCCTTCTCTCCTGACGTTTCGCCCACATCTATGACAGACATCCTCACACAATCTCTGAGGATGCCTGCCGTAGATGTGGGCAAAACATCAGAAGAGAATGCTTCTGGAACATGGCCATACAGCCCAGAAAACTCTCAGCAACCCAATAAAGAACTTGTTTATTGTGGCTGAGTCTTCTGAAAGAAAATTATGTTGGAGCTGTAGGACTGTAATAGCTTGAGAATTCAGATCCACATTATGATAGCTAGTTTGTGTTAAAAGACATGACCTTTAATTTCTCTGAGATTTAAGGGAGAGCAAGTTCAGGCAAGACTATGCAAAGCTGTAAAGATGGTAAGACGTTGGTGGAACAAATCACTGCCCTTGTTATTCACAAAATTAATACCAACATTAAATGAACTGGCGTGAAAGATCTGGGTGAAAAACTTAGTATTCTGGTATATGAATGCCAGATGATAAAGTGACTGCAACCTTTGGGGAAATAGATGAAAGCTGCCACCTTCTTCAAATTAATTGATTTGGTTTGCTCAAAACCATTCCTACTAGCACAAGTGTAAGAGCAATGCAGAGAAGTGTTTCTCAGACTGTCTGATGTGATGACTAATAATTATTCTTTTCCAGTGGGCCAGGACCAGCACCATATTTTACCCATGAGCTACATTTCTTTCTTATACAAAAAACAAATATCCATGGGATGTGACAAAATGGATGCATAGCCAACTAGAATACAGTAGTATTGCTGTTGTAATCATCTAATTCTTCATAGAGAAGGCATTCATAGTTTGATATTTTTCTTCATTTTCTTTCAAGGGGCCATCTCTCATCTTCTGCAGGAAACACCATGCCCAGGTATGTGACATTCATTTCACTATAAGAGGTTTTGTTTGGTGAAGTCACTGAAGTTGCAGCACAGTTCCACAGGGAATGAGTAGTTTCAAAGGTTTTTAAATGCTGACTTTATGAAGACAGTTGGTAGGAGGGTCAACAGGGAGTGGAAGGATTTTTCATTTGCAAAAGGTTTAAGGGGAAATACTATTTATAGTTTTACATCCCTTTACACACCGTAAACCTAAGATCATTTGATCTGCACATGTTCTGGAGTTATCTGCCACAATGTGTGAAATGCTAGTATGATATTAGGCTCTTAGTAATCTCAGGGTGTCCTCCCAGGATGCAATGCCTGTTAAATATGCCAGCATGTACTCCATGTTGTGGCAAATTTTACCAAGCAAGCACACTTAAATTATTATTCTTGCTCAGAAAGGTCACTTACACACAGATTCAACTCATGGCTCCTCTTCTTTTTCTTCTTTTCTCTTTCTTCCTTCTTCTTTCTTCTTTCTTTCTTCTTTCTTCCTTCTTCCTTCCTTCTTCTTTTTGAGTTCCACTTCATTTTGGCATCACCTGTTAAAGATCTAAAGTCTTGTGGTTTCAATTTTGCTGAAACTGCAAAGAATTTCAAATTGCTAGGTTGCAGTGTTTCCACCCGGTCCTACAGTAGCTCCACCCTGAAATTCTGGAATTCACTTTTAACTCCGATTCTTCATGCTTTTGGCATCGAGGGAGATTCTCAAGTAACCTGACGCTTTGCCAGTTCCCTTTGAACATGGCTCAGGGAATCAAAATCGGTTGGGGCCATGTTCTTGCGGAACATTTGTAGTGAAGTCCCAAACATAATTTAATCCATAATAATAATGTTTTGTCAGAAAGTATAAATGCAACTAAAATGACTTTGGAAAGTTTAAATGATGGGTGAGTGATGGAATGATAAAACTCATTACCAGACTCATTCCTTCAAAAGTCATTGTTTACAAATGTTGTTCACATCTCAGTTCCCAGCTTTGGAACTCTTTGCCAAGGGAGATTAGACTGACACCTACCCTGTCCATCTTTCATAAGGACCCAAAAATGTGGATGTTCCACTGTGCCTTTGACTAAACTATTCACCAGATAATTGGCCAAAACTTACCAAATTTCCTGCACTTTAGTACGGCCCTCCGCCCTATAATCCTGACATTTTAATTGCCAAAGGACATTACTCTCCCAGCCCTACCTGTATTGAATTTTGCACCTTCCCTTAGCCCTATCCAGAAACTATTGCACCAACTCTGACCCCTCCAAAATCGGCGCTTAATACTGTTCAGCCATTGAGTTGTTTTTATGATACTATGTTCTGTTAATGTGATGTGTTAATTTTATCTCGTTTTGTTGATTTTATTTTATTGTATTTGATTGTGTTATGTTTTAATCTATGCTTTTTGGGTTTGTCTCCTTGTAAGCTTCGGGGAGATGGAGGCGGGGTATAAAAATAAAGTTGTTGTTGTTGTTGTTATTATGCTGTTAGCTGTATTCTGGATAATTGAGTGATGCTGCTCAGTATTATTGTTTTCTCTCTTGGTTGAGGGAGGAGCTGCCACTTGCTCTCTATAGAGCTGCAGTACCAGTTCCTCCCCTGCAAACTCTCCTGCCAAACATCTGTTTGTCTCGCCTTTTCACCTCACCTTGTACGCCAAGTTGAACATGAGTCAACAGTGTGATGGAGCAGCTCAAAAAAGCCAATGCAATTCAAGTCTGCATCAATAGAAGTATAGTGTCTAGATCAGTGGTTCCCCCAACCTGTGGTCTGTGGACCACCAATGGTCTGCAAGAACTAAAATATGGTCTGTGGTCTCACCATTACTACACCACTGCAATGAGAGTGTCTGGTCTTGCAAAACCCTCTTATAGTGCCAAGGCTTATTAAAAATGATTTTTTTTTTGTGGGCGAGCAGAGGATGGCTACTGGATGGCATATGTTCTGTATCAGAAACTAGAGCTGATGTGATCTATCCAATGCAGTTTTCTGAACCAGTACCCCAAATAACCAAAACGAATCTAAAGTTGACCAAAAACCGATTTGTAACCCTTTTGATAATAACGTTGGAGAGTGGTCCCTGGTCAAAGTGGTCCCTGGTCAAAAAAAGGTTTGGAACCACTGGTCTAGATCAAGAGAAGTCATAGTCCTACTCTATTCTGCTTTGGTCAGATCTCACCTGGAATAATGTGTCCAGTTCTGGGCGCTGCAATTCAAGAAAAATATTGATAACCTAGAACATATTCATTGAAGGCCAACCAAAACAATCAAAAGTTTGAAAATCATGCTCTATGAGGAGTTACTGAGGGAGCTGAGTATGTTTAAGCTGGAGAAGAGCAGGGGACATGAAATGATGTCATGCTGAGGAGAGTTCAAGCTTGTTTTCTGCTTTCTGGAGTCCAAGACACAATGGAGCAACAGATTGAAATTGTAGGAAAAGAGATTCCACCTAAACACTAGAAAGAATTTCCTGACAGTAAGAAGCTGTTTGTCAGTAGAAGGACATGCCGCCTGGGAGTGTGGTGAAGTCTCCTTCCCTGAGGGTTTTTAAGTAGAGGCTGAATAGCCATCTCTTGCGGTGCTTTGTGTTTTCCTGCATTGGACTGGAGGGCTCTTCTACTCTCTTTCAACTCTACGATTCTATAAAAAGAAAATTCCTGAATCATTTGCTTTTCCTTTTTAAATGTATATTCCATTTTTCTTCTCAGGGGCCAAAGCAATGTAGTTTTCTTTCTCCTGCCCCTTTTATTTTGAGAGCAGTACTTTAAGGTGGGTCATGCTAAAAAGGCATGGATTGTTCTAAGCTCATTTTGTGAGTTGTGGCTTGCTTGCTTCTGAATAGACATGTATGGGGTTGTACTATAAATAAACCACAACTGCTCCTGTAGAGAGTTATGGCAAAGGTGGAATAGTTTAGCAAAAGTTTCTGTGCTACTTGACATTGATAGTGCACAAGATCTGTTCTTGTTTTGAAAGAGGATGCCTGGAGAACTGCAAGTGTGCTTTGTAAAATTCTTTGGCAGTCTAAGCTAACAGTGCTAAAAAGGTCTTTTTATTTTCCTCTGAGGCAAATGTTTATCTGAGGTAAAACCTCTCACACAAGAATAACTATTGTGGTCTACCTCTCACCATGAAAACATTATTCCTGGAGCTGAGGTCATTCATTTCCTTTGCACAAAACTGCAAGCCTGTTAAATACGTTATTCCCATTAGGCAGTGGCTATTAAAATGGGGAAATTTGGTAAAGATATGCCGACTAAAATCTGTCAATGGCTCAACATTAGCTTCGCACAACTAAAAGGAACAGCTCATACTATCTGTTCCTATTAGATAAGAGCCGGAGACCTGCTGTCCTCTTGTGTTCAAGACACTAGGTCAACCAAACCTTAGGTCCATCTTTCAGCAACATATGAGAACTAGGCATCATTAGGTAGAAACTAGAAAGATTAGAAAAAAATTAGGAACAGTACACAAACTACTTGGAATTCTTACATACTTGTAGATTTTTCTATATCATGCCCATGATAAATATGTGTTTGAAATATGGGTGATGCATCCAGGGCATTTTACTTCTTGGTTCACTTAAATAACCTGGTGTATACCTTGATTGTCCTTCAGAGAAGCATAGAATCTGTTACCCAGTCCCTCCTGTCACTGGTGTGCCTTCTGAGTCGACAGGATACACCATCCTTTCCCAACATGACACTGTCAATCTATTTGGGACTACAGCTCTCTTTCACCCCATCCAGCATATTCTATCATGAGGGATGATCACAGTTATAGTCCAAAATATCAGGACATCTTGTAGAAGGCTGGAATAGCCAAAATGTACTTGAAGATGACTGATCAAAGAAATTTCATCTAGCAAAAGCATGTGATTGGTTGTTCCTAGTAAGGATGAATTCAGACTCATGATACAGGTTGAGTATCCCTTTTCTGAAATACTTGATACTAGATTTGTTTGGATTACAGAATATCTGTATTTACATATATGTACATAATGAGATATCTTTGAGATGGGACTCAAATCTCAATATGAAATTCATTTGTGCTTCATATCAACCTTATACCCATAGCACCAATGTGATTTTATGCATTATTTTCAAGAAACCTATGCACGAAACAAAGTTTGTGTACACTGAACCACCAAGCTTCAAAGTTGTTGCTATCTTAGCCACTCCTGTTGACAGTTTGGATTTTAGAATTCCAGCTAAGGAATGTTCAACATGTAATGACATTGGAAAAGAGTGGAATTAATTCTTTGCTCCCGTCATAGCCCACTCTTGATTGAGGGACCCTCTCAAGTAGCTGCAGTATAATAAACAAGGACCAAGACCACAAGAGCTGATCTATTTGCCCCTAAATTGATCTATAGAGCAAAGTGGAAGTAAGCACAATCAGCCCTCCATAGGACCTCCATGACAGTAAGGAAAGAAAGAAAACTGAGAGAACATCTTTCTAGGCTTTCTGTGTCTTCCAGCATGACTTATGGTCAATGCCCATTTGAAGCTGAACAAAGAATTGTGTTGGAGGAGCTGGAGATTCCAGAGAAGTGCTCTGTCTAGAAATCTCTAGGCCCGGCAACATGACCAAAGGAAGATAAGCATAGAGTCACACTGGGGGACCCAGAAGAGACCATCTTAATTGAATCTATTAATAATCAAATCCACAAAAGTCAAAACTCCAAGCAATGAGGAATTACTGCACCATGCATATTAGGGGTCAATATGAATGGTATTATGAATGCCCAGACCCTGATTAACATCTTTGTTGTTGTTTTTGCTTCACAGCTCTGTGAATGTCCTAAAAATGCAGAGTATGGGTGTCTTGTTGGCTGACACATTGGAGAAAGTAAGTTTCTTATATATAGAAGCAATACTTGAAATACCATTTCGGGAGAAGTAGACACGTTGATCTGTAGCAAGAGCAACAAAGAATCTTGGGGTATCTTAATAAAACCTGCTGTCAGAAGAGTTTTCTGGACTACATCCTGAAGTGATATTCTCCAGTGGCAGATGAATGAAGTGCATGGAACTCGAGGGGAGATGGATATATGGAGCCAAAGAGGTTAAGTCCATGACCACTACATATAAAGCAAAGATCTGTGGAACAGCAGCAAGTAATGGTACACGGTACAGACATGTCTCAAAGCCAAGAGTTGTGTGTACCTTTTTCCTTTCATGGCCTCTTATATTCCATTCAAACCAGAGCAACTAGAAAATATTCTGCAGGTGTAGACCATGTAGAGCACAGCTGGAATAGTGCCAGAAATATTGCAAGTCTTATCTTGATATAAATCTTTCATTTGGCGTCACTTTTGTCTCCCCCTCTCACTCTCCCTGTCTGTGTGTGTGTGTGTGTGTGTGTGTTACAGAATTACAGATAAGTTGGGGGGGGGGGGGTCAGCCTTTCCTCCATTCCTTTCTCCAGCAGCAATTCAAGATCCCCTGTGGCACCTTGAGAAACCAAGAGTCTCATTCCATAAGCTTTAATGTACTTGATGTGCTTTAATGTAACTTACATACACCTACCAACAGAAAACACCGTCTCCTGGATTGGACTGAAGTGCATTAAGTCTGATGGAATGAGAGTGTTGGTCTCTTAAGGTGCTGCAGAGGATCTTGAATGGCTGTTGAAATGAAAGTGCAGAGGAAGGAAAATCAAGGACTGACCGTCCTATCGATAATTCTCTACTTTGTGACTGAAGGGACTGGCAGAAAGAATGCAATGTTTCCTCTGACTGCAAAACACTGGAATGCTGCTTCATTGGATGTGGAGAACATGCTGGGACACAACTCTTAGCAATTCTGGTGCTGTTCAAACTGTGTGCTTCATTTTGCACATCTGCAGAATATTTCCTTGTTGCTCAGTAGGAATAAATCGAACGAATCCTCGTGTGTTACCTGAAGCTTTGAGATTCTTTTTTTTTTTTTTTGAGATTCTGAAACAGGAATTAATTTGACTCCTTACTACAAACAGCAAATGCTGCTCCCCTTCTCTTCCCTGCCAGCTAAACCCTTTCCCCTTGCCGCTCACTGGCTTTCTTGTATTTGTAGTAATGAGGGCGAGAGGTGTTTTCAATTTCAGAGTGAGTGACCGTTCAGAAGGCACAATCTGAAGGTGGAATCTCTGTGAATAGCTGTTAGTGTTTTAGGACTGATCAATAGAAGAAATTATCCCTCTAATAACAGGGTGAAAAGCGTTTGAATTCAAAGGAAGTTCAATTGATTGTATTTGTTTTTGGTACTTTTCCCATTATACAGAAATCATAAATACACTCACAACACCACCAGAGCTCATCTGATCTTGAAAGCTAAGCATGGCCAGGCCTGGTTGGTACTTGTAAGGGAGACTATCACAGAATATTGGCTCAATGCTATGGAATCATGGCATTTGCAGTTTGATGAGGTGCCAGCGAAGGTGCAGAGAAGACTAAAGACCCTGTAAAACTGCAACTCCCATGAATCCGTCACACTGAGCCACAGCAGTTAAAGTGGCATTAAACGACAATAATTCTAGAATGTAGAATTAGAAGTATATTTCCTAGAAAAACTGATTTCCCATTACTAGACCACTCACTTTGGACTTTCTAGAGCAACCTGTGATCTCCAGGTGTTTTGGACTTCACACCAGCTTTGGACCAACTTGACCATTGGACAAGCTGGTCAGGGCTTCTGGAAATTGGAGTCCCAAACATCTGGAGAACCAGAGGTTGTTCTAGGAGCCTGGTTCTCAACCTGTGGATCCCCAGATGTTTTCAGCTGTCAACTCCCAGAAATCCTAACATCTGATAAATTGCCTGGGATTTCTGGGAGTTGTAGGCCAAAACACCTATGGACCCACAGGTTGAGAACCACTGCTCTAGGACAGTGTTTCTCAAACTCTGCCCTTCCAGGTGTTTTGGACTTAAGCTCCCACAATTCCAAACAGCTGGTAAACTGGCTGGGAGTTCTCGAACAGTATTTCTCAACCTGTGGGTCCCCAGGTGTTTTGGCCTACAACTCCCAGAAATCCCAATCAGTTTACCAGCTGTTAGGAATTCTGGGAGTTGAAGGCCAAAACACCTGGGGACCCACAGGTTGAGAACCACTGTTTTAGAAGCTGAAGTCCAAAGCACCTGGAGAACCACAGGTCATGGAGGCCCACTCTAGGGTATAGCTTGAGATGCAGGTAGATTGTTCCCGTACACCTGAAAGGCTAGGGGAAAAAATCCATGGATATTGAAAGGCTGTATACTTGGGAGTGTCAAGGCAAGAACTATGCCATGTATTCGCTCCAATTTGTTGACAGTGTGGAAAGGGAGTGAACATTGGAAAACACTAGTTTGGCAGCTATTCTCCTGCCCTGTTAGCCTTGCTCTATCAGGAAAGGTGGTTATGAATTAGGCAGAAGACACCACCACATGCCTACATTCATAATCATCTGATGTTTCCCATCCCTGCGTTATTCAAAGGAACAAAATGTTCCCTCTGTGTGGGAGGTATGTTTGTTGCACTTTTTCATTCTATATTTACATTCTGTCTATCAATCTGTTTGCCGCTTGATTCTCCCACTGCTGCTGGCATTGTTCTCTCTTCACGGGGCTATTTACCTAACAGTGTTTATCTAGAAATGGTAATGTCTTCAGTGATTCCATCAGTGTTCAAAAAATTGAATACAAACTGATAAATAAACATATTTTGCCAGGTTGGATTTTAATGTTAATAGTTGGTACTTGGGTATTCTTCCATTAAGATTCTCGCTTCTTCTTCTTTTTTTTAACTTTACAGTTTGCACATAAACTTCCACCAGCTGCCTCACAAGTAGCGCATCAAAAGCCCCGACCCACGGTGGAGAAGACTATATTGCCCAAAAGGATGTACATTATTCAGCAGCCTTCGAAATGTTAAAAAGATGGAGAATAAAATATTCATATAGTTGACAGACTTGCTCATAACGAAACAGTACTTAGCTAAGCAAGCAATCAATGGACCAAATGCTGGAAGCAGTTTCTCCTTTGTATTTTTCTTGCAATAAAATTGCATATTCACTTGTTTTCACTGAAAATATTTTTTCATACTTTTTATTGGCCATAAGATTCGTTATTTTAAGACTCTCAAACCACCTTATTATAGCAGTCAGAGCTTAGAATAGATAAGCAATTTCTTTAAGTCCTATTTTTGTAAACGGAGAGAATTGTGTGGCTCTTCATTCATACTGCCCACTTGAAAATATGCAAAAGCTTTCCAACCTCTAGTGAAATATGTAAACTCGTTAGGTGTATAAATAAAATATATCTTTCCTGGACAATGTAATTGTTGTGCTAGGATTCAGGCTTGTTTTGGAAAAACCCATCTTCTGACTGTAAGCACCATGGCATTAGATCTATTGACTTAAGTCTATTACTGTATTTAATTTTCCTTTTCTTCTGGTGTGATTAAATATTTCCCAAGTTAATCCCTACATTTAATCAGGGCTTTTGCTATATGTCATACTATATACCTAAGTGATTATTTTCAGATGCTTTTATAATGCTGTACTGTTTGGGATTCCAACAGGATGAAAAAAGATAAAAAGGAGACCATAAAGGACTTACTCCAAATTCCATGTGCTTACAAGGCAACATTTATTTTCTATACTGTAATGGGCAATAAATAACGTAATATATAATTTGGGGTTGTGTGTGTGTTCAACCATGTAGCTTCAGGGCCTGTGCTGTGTGAAGAACCATTGGCTACAACAGAACCCTCAAACTATGACATGCAGAATCTGCAGGAGAACGTTTGCTGGGATGTGAAAAGGTGTAGTTAATTTCCAAAAGGTACCAAATCCACCAGAACCAATTTTAGAAATATCAAAAAAGTGCTGAGGATTGTGCTATAAAATGCAATTTTTCAAACCCTGAACACCACAGTGATTTGATACATTTTGATAGTTGTGATCTGGATGTAAAGTTCTATTCCTAGCCAGAAATGTGTTGCCACCTATAACTCTTTTTTTTTAAAAAATGGTACCTTTTGGAAACAAGTTCAACAAATGAAAGGGTGCAGGATGAGGAATGTGTTATCCCTGACCACTTCCTTATTAAATTTAAACTTTCTGTATATGAAATGTAGACCACTTGCTGTCTACCACATATACTTGTGTATTTAAAGAAATGAATGTAAAAAAAATGGGTTGACTACAATTTGGGGCACTTAAACAGCGGTGCCATTTTGAGGCTTCTTATAGCCTTGTGAAGCTTACACAATAAAAGCCTATTTAGAATGGCCACTATTGCACCATTTCATTTCAGGTGCTCCTTATCCAATTAGCACTCAGCAACATTATGGGGGAGAATGCTGCATCCTGCATTTTTGGGCTCCCCCATAATGCTGCTGAATGCTAATTGGGCTAAAAGAAGAAGATGGGGAAGCGAAGGATAAGGGGCTCCCTTTTCTCTGAAGGGAAAGGTAATGGGGTGGGAATGTTGCTTGGACACCAGGCCCTGCTTTGTGAGGCTTCTTGCCTCAGTCTCTTGTCACTGCCTTTGCACTGTGTGCCTAAATAGAGGCAGAAATTATTAATGTAATTTACACACAAACCCCTCGAATAAAAATATCCTCTTCGGCTCTTCCTAAGTCTGTTCCTTCTATGCATTTTTTTTAAAGTGTTACATGTCTTTAAGCTTTACACTCAACTTCAGTGGACATGAGAGAAGCCTCCCACAGGATGGTAAAACATCTGGGTGTCCCCTGGGCAACATCCTTACAAACGACCAATTCTCTCAAACCAGAAGCAACTTGCAGTTTCTCAAGTCACTCCAGATACACTCACACAAACATCAGTGGATCATAGCAAAATGTACTATTCTTGGTCCCCAAACCTGCTTTCAACCTACACATGACGTCGACTGATACACGAGTGTAATGGAGTACTTAATTGGGATTTCTTTTATACTTGCAACACTACAGACTGCTTAAATGAAGAGGAACCTGACTGCCCTACAGCATTTGCAAAATGGTTCAAAGTTGGAAGTTTCATGTATCATATTTTTATTTTAGGTTGGAGTGACAGCAGCAAATAGGACTAGGAGTTACCTAAAGTTTGTAGGGAAAAAGAAGATACATGAACTCATTGCATTTTAGCGATGATGAATTTCCGCCTCCTGTATAATTTTAGTTCTGGCAAAAAATCCAAAGACTGGATCTTTGGTTAGGTCCATGGCAAATTGCATCCCAGTTACCATTTGCTGGGGAGTAACAGTGAGAAGAAGGCTATTCCTTCATACTTTGCTTGTAGGTTTCCTGAAACATCTGGATAGTCACTAGAAAAATGGGATGCTGAATATGTTTGACTTTAGGAATGATCCAGCAAGGCTATTTCTAGGTAAAGAAATTATAATGTCAACAATATTATTGGTTTAACAAGATAAGAAAAAGCACAAATGTCTGCTAAATTAAGTGCTGGTTAAATCATCTGTGGTAATTCAAAATATACCACTGGTTAACATGTCTTTGCAAGATGCCTTCAGGTTGACTCAAACATTTGGTGACCCACATCATGGAGTTGGTTTGGGAAGATTTGCCTTCCTGATTCAAAGATAATGGCACTTAGCATATATAGGCTTTACAGTATCAGTTTCATGGATCTCAAATCTTTCCCAGAAAAACGCTTATCACTATAAAATATCCTTAATTTGGTGTTCTGTGTAGCCTCATATCCCTTCCTGCCTTATTTTCCATCATATGACTCCCTATGTAAACTATGTGCTTCTCTTAAAGCTGTGTAGTCAGAAGTCTATCGTGAGCCCTGTAAAGTGAAAGCCTGTGACAAGTTGTGTGTGTGTTTTAAATAAACAAAACTTTAAAAACAGGCACAGGAGACCATATCTGGGAAGATATGGGATTGTGGGAAAGAGTAACTCGTCATTTGTTAAGTCTAATTTTCACCCTGGTGTTGCTATTAGCCAGACCGAAGTTGGAGAAGGAAGACAGAATCACAGAAGTGGAAGAGACCTAAAGGGCCATCCAGTCCAACCACCTTCTGCCAACAGGAATATTCAATCAAAACATTTCCCGAGAGATGGCTATCCAAATATTACTTAAAGATCTCCAAAGAAGGAGTGTCTGCTGCCCTCTGAGGAAGCCTGTTCCACTGCTGAACAGCTCCAGTTGTATGGGATTTGCCTCTGTATCCAGGGGTGTGTCTAGAGAGAAATATAATGGGACCTTAATGTCTGTTGGGTTTTGTTTCCAAGACATTATGGAGATACCAAAATGTCTTGGCACTCGTGTGCCATCATATAAAATGCTGTAGTAAAATTGTATACTTTATATATATAATGGCAAAATCAAATTTTGGGTTTTTTTTTTAGAATTCTTTTTTTTTTTTAACTCAAATTGTGGAAGGTAGAATCTGTGGGGCCAGAATCCATGGATATGAAGAGCCAACTCCAGTCAATTTTAACTTGTGAAATTTAACCTACAATTTACCTGTGTGTATGTTACATGTTTTTAATGGTGTTTTGTTTTACTTCACTGTTTTAACTATGTTGTAATCTGCCTTGAGTTGCAAGGAAAAACAGGTAATAAATATATCATCATCATCATTAAATACACAGTACAGTCTTCTCCATATGTTGGTGTTCAGTGCTCATCTCTCACCATTAGCCATTCTGGATGTGATTGTTTGGAGTAATAGACTAAGTGCTTCATCACACTAGAGCAGGGGTCCTCAAACGTTTTAAACAGAGGGCCAGGTCACAATCCCTCAAACTGTTGGAGGGCCGGAATATAATTTGGATAAAAAAATGAATGAATTCCTATGCACACAGCACATATCTTATTTGTAGTGCAAAAGACACTTAAAAACAATACAATAATTAAAATGAAGAACAATTTTAACAAATATAAACTTAGAATTTCAGTGGGAAGTGTGGACCTGCTTTTGGCTGATGAGATAGGATTGTTGTTGTTGTGTGCTTTCAAGTCGTTTCAGACCCTTAGGAACCCACACGATCTCTTTGATCATCTGGAGAAGCCCTGCTCATGCTCCCACCTCCTTCGCCGGCACGATTGGTGGGAACGAGGGAAAGGGCCTTCTCGGTGATGGCCCCCCAACTCTGGAACTCATTTCCCAGGGACATTACACATGCCCCAAAGTTGGCAATCTTTAGGAGGAGCCTAAATCCTACCCTAGTTATATTTTACCTTGTTCGCGTCAGCATATTTTCAATTTTAATCTATTACACTTGGCCCAGCCATTTTTAAAATTGTTTATGTCACTATTAATTGTTTTTTGTTTATGTGATTTATATGATTTGTATTTTATTGATTGTTTATTGATGTTGTGTTTATTGATGTTTTGTTTGATGTACTTTGGGCTTGGCCTCATGTAAGCCGCACCGAGTCCCTTGGGGAGATGGTAACGGGGTACAAATAAAGTTTATTATTATATTATTAGGTTGACGCTGAGCGAGGGCCGGGTAAATGACCTTGGAGGGCCGCATCCGGCCCCCGGGCCTTAGTTTGAGGACCCCTGCACTAGAGAATGAATCCACTTTAAAACTGGGTACTGCCTCCTGCAAAAATCTGGGGTTTGTAGTTTAGGAAGGAGCCTTTAGCAGCCTCACCAAACTACAAACCCCAGAATTCTGCAGGAGGCAGAAACCGGATTTTAAGTGGATTCATTCTCTAGTGTGATTAAGTACTAAAACATCTCAAGGACACCATAATGAAGAAGATGGTGAGATAGATGGACCTTTCTCCATCACCCAACTCTGGCTGGTTAAGAAGGAAATGGGATTTGTTGCCTCATCTCCTTGCCCCCGGGCCATGAGAATTGAAAACCATTGACCCAAAGAGCTCTGGGTGGTGTTTCAAGTAAGTCAACAGCAGAGAAATCTGACATCTTCCAAACCCAGCGAGATGGAGGAGAAGGGCCTGCCTCGCCACCACAACCTTCTTTCTCATTAGGCAAAGATATTAAAAGCTCCCTCAGCAGGACCACCTTGAAATTTGGGGACCTTCTCTTAGATTTTGGAAGTTGTGTGTGCATAGTTCTGATCAGTAAACCACTTATGTAATATGTATTTAGCATCTAAAAGTGCACTGTCAAAGATACACAAAAAAACTAACTGTTGTGTGGATACAAATAAGCTAGTCTCCTTGTGGAAATAACAAGTTGGTATAAATAAACATAAAAACAATAACAACAATCTATGGAGAATTAATTGTAAGGAATTTATTTATTTATTTATTTATTTATTTGCAACATTTATATGCCACCCTTCTCACCCCGAAGGGGACTCAGTGTGGCTTAATTGTACGCTACTATCTAGATACCCAAAAACATCCGCACTAAAGTTATTCTTAACTCTTCTGTGAATGTAGTCTTAAACTTGTAGTCTTATGGCTATTGTTGTTTACATTGTTTAAATTCACCATTTATTCTACTACAGATCCTTCGTACTATGCCTGATATGAATATAAAAATATACCATATAGCTGTTCAACATATTCAAAGCTAGACTGAAGGTGTCCTTATTACTGGACAATCCAAAACATGTGCCAAAATTATTTGTTCTGTCTATAGTTACAACCCTCCCCATCAACTATAAAAATGCTATAGTCACATACTAGCTAGGCATTAACAAAAATAGCATTTTATGCTCACATAACAACAAGCAA